GCCTTGAAGTATGCTTTGGATCATTGTCCTGCATAAAAATAAATTCTTCAAGACCCATTTCTAATGCTGATTGTCTAATATTTTGGGCTAATATTTGCTTGTACATAGCAGCATTCATAGTTTCTTCAAAAAAAACAATTCTACCAACACCACTGTATGATATACAGCCCCAAACCATTATTGATCCTCCACCATGTTTCACAGTTGGAATTGTATTTTGAGGTTTGTAACGATCTCCTAAAAAATACCTGACATACTTAATTTCATCACTGTTCAAGAGATTAAATTTGCATTCATCAGTAAAAATTATTGTCTTTAGGGTCTCATTTGATATACCTAAAAATTTTTCTGATAATAAAAATCTTTTCTTTATGTTAACAGGTCTCAGAAATGGCTTTTTTGCTAGTTTTGCTGTTACAAGTCCAAATTGAGTTAATATTCTTGACACAGTTTGCCTTGAAACATTAATTTTAAATTTATCTGCAAATTTTTGTGCAATCTTTACATAAGATTCTTTATGATTTTTATCATAAATCAAAAACAACTCTCTTTTTAACTCATCATTTAATAATGATTTTCTACCAGAACCATATTTTCGACCTAGAGGTATATTCTTTTGTAATTTAATATTTATTTTATTAACAAAAGATTTAATTACACCTCTTTTAATTGCAATTTCTCTTTGACTCATCCCAGTCTTTAAATCATCTTCAATCAACACTTTAACATAATCATCGATTTTTTTAGTCATAAGGGTGTTGCAAAATTTTGTTAAAAAGAAAATATTGGAGGGAAAAATATTTTGTCCACGTTTTTTTGGTCAATTTTTCAAAAATATTTTTTCTAAAGTTTATTTAAAAACATAATTTTAGTAAGTATTTTTTTTATTTGATTCTAAAACTATCTACTTTGCATTTGTTTCTAATAAAAAATTTCATGATATTTCTTTATTGATGATATTTTTCATTTTTTTACTTGTCCACGTTTTTTTGAGCAATACTGTATATTGTAAAAGAAAATTTTTTTATTCATGACATGTGTGGCTTTTTGCGAATAATTTTTTAGGTGGTCTTACTTTTTTGCTCAATACTGTATGTCTTAATATATTTTATAGTTCATATCTAG